CACTGTTTTATTAAACTTACTACTGTCAGCTCTGTACACAAAAAGGTACAAAACACTTAATTAATTATTCTATTATACAAAATGTCACATCACATTTTTTGATTCACAGTGAATTTACTGCAGAGAACATAAGATATGACTGGACATAATACCAACTACACCAAGTAATATGAATGGTATAATAATAATAATAATAATAATAATAATAATAATAATAATAATAATAAAAATATTACATTTTCAAATTGCTTCATGTTTTCAATCATTCAAAGTAGAACATGTACAGGTTGCATAAATGGATGATATAATGTTAGAAATAGTAAAAGGTGAGTGAATGTTGTGAGTGAAGTGAGAGCAGTGTGTGGAGGAGAACAGAGCAGAGGTTTTTGTACGGCCTCTTCATCACTTTGTATCACTGTGGTGGATATTTGGAGGAGGAACACAACTCACTGTTGACTGTGAGTATTTTTTAATTTATAATTTATCAGAACTACTTTATTGCTGGCATTTTAGTAGGATTTCTGTCATTTATTATGAATTGGTGATTTTTTAAATATCATTTTTAGCTGTTGTTGTGTAGATCAAAGCTAAACAAACAGAGCCCTAAAAATACTAAGTGTAACAGTTTAGTATATTTTAATTAAATTAAATTAAATTAAATTTAATTAAATTTAATTAGATTTTTATTTATAGTTTATTTATTATATATTATTAAAATATATAAAAGATCATTCTCCAAAATTACACAAAAACAAATATCGGTCATAAAAAATGTTATGAAAATACACCAAATGCTATTTAACGGGGCATTTATTGTTTCTTAAATATATGTTTTATTATAAATTTATATATATTAAAAAAAAAAAATGTGTTTCTCACCTTCCACGGTGGTAGGGGTCTCTCTCACCCTCATTCAGCTCGGGTCCTCTACCAGAGGCCTGGGAGCTTGAGAGTTCTGCGCAGTATCTTTGCCGTTCCCAGTACTGCACTTTTCTGAACTGAGATGTCCATTGTTTTTCCCGGTACTGTTGAAGCCACTCTTCCAGTTTGGGGTTTACAGCCCGAGTGTCCGATCACCACAGGCACCACTGATGCCTTTACTTTCCAGGCTCTCTCCAGCTCTTCCTTGAGCCCCTGGTATTTCTCTAGCTTCTCGTGTTCCTTTTTCCTGATATTACATCGCTTGGTATTGCGATGTCCACCACCACGGCTCTGCTCTGTTTCTTAATCCACCACCACTATGTCTGGTTGGTTCGCCATCACCATTCTGTCAGTCTGTATCTGAAAGTCCCACAGGATCTTGGCTCGGTCATTCTCCACAACCTTTGGAGGTGTTTCCCACCTTGATCCTGGGGTTTCCAGCCCGTACTCTGCACAGATGTTTGCTGTACACTATGCCCGCCACTTGGTTATGTCGCTCCATGTATGCTTTCCCTGCCAGCATCTTACACCCTGCAGTTATGTGCTGGACTGTCTCAGGAGCCTCTTTGCACACTCTACACCGTGGGTCTTGTCTGTGTGGTAGATCTGGGCCTCTATTGCTCGAGTGCCCAGGCCTGCTCCTGAGCAGCCAGGATCAGTGCCTCTGTGCTGTCCTCAGACCAGCCTCTCAAGCCATTGGTAGGATTTCTTGATATCAGCCACTTCAGTTATGTTCCGGTGGTACGCCCCATGTAGGGGTTTGTCCTGCCATGATGGTCCCTCCAGCACCTCGTCCTCTGGATCCCACTGTCTGAGACATTCTCTGAGCACCTCATCTGCCGGGGCCTTGTCCTTGATGTACTCAAGGAGCTTGGATGTTTCATCCTGGACAGTGGCTCCCACACTCACTAGTCCTCGGCCCCCTTCCTTCCGGCCTGCGTACAGTCTCAGGGTGCTGGATTTGGGATGGAACCCTCCATGCATGGTCAGGAGCTTTCGTGTCTTAACATCTGTGGTCTGTATCTCCTCCTTGGCCAGCTTACATCCCTGCAGGGTATCTGATCACTGGCAGGGTGTAGCTGTTGATTGCCTGCACTTTTCTTGCCATTGAGCTGGCTTCTAAGGACTTGCCTCACTCTTTGCAGGTATTTGGCCGTAGCCGCTTTCCTTGTTGCCTCTTCAAGGTTGCCACTTGCTTTGTGGGATACCAAGGTACTTGTAACTGTCAACGTCTGCTATTGTTCCCTCTGGGAGTGACACCCCCTCTGTGTGGACTACCCTTCCCTTCTTTTGTCACCATCCTGCTACATTCTCAAGCCCGAATGACATCCCGATGTCTGTTACTGTAGATCCTTGTGGTGTGGATCAGTGAGTCGATGTCTCGCTCACTCTTAGCGTACAGCTTGATGTCATCCATGTAGAGGAGGTGACTGATGGTGGCCCCGTTTCTGAGTCGGTATCCATAGCCAGTGCGGTCGATTATTTGGCTGAGGGGGTTCAGGCCTATGCAGAACAGTAGTGGGGACAGTGAGTCTCCTTGGTATATGCCACATTTCTTGGACACATGTGCAAGTGGCTTCCCTTGGCTTCAAGGGTGGTTTTCCACAACCGCATCGAGTTTCGCAATGAACGCCCTTAGAGTCCTGTTGATATTGTACAGCTTCAAGCACTCAGTGATCCATGTGTGTGCATTGAGTCATAGGCTTTCTTGTAATCAATCCAGGCAGTGCACAGGTTGGTCTTACGGTTCTGCAGTCGTGGCCGACTGTTCGGTCAACCAGGAGTTGGTGTTTGGCTCCCCTGGTGTTTTTGCATACCTCTCTCTCTCTCTCTCTCTCTCTCTCTCTCTCCTCTCTCTCTCTCTCTTATCTCTATATATATATATATATATATAAATTTATTTATTATATATTTTATTTATTACTGAAGTTGCAATGAATTTTCTGTTTACTGTTTCATATTGATTGTGGATAATAAATTTAAAAGAAATGGCCCTCCAGTCACACTATTGCCCATTTAGTATGAAATGTAGAGCTAAATGAGCTTAAAGCATTAGTAATATATTTAATCTTTTCTAAGTAAAAATATTTTTCTTATGATATTCCTGTATTAAATTGAATCTGAAAAAAATGTACTGAAATGTGTTAATGAGTTAAAAAATCTGCATTACCATTATTAACAGTTTTAATGAATATAATATCAGTTGTCCACAGTTTGTTGGTCAGACTTACAGTGAACAGGAAGTGAAAAACACAGATGTAAATGTCTCTAGTCTTCATCAGTTTGTGCACTGACTGTTTTCTGATGTATTGATTTAACACTGTGTTGTGCTGCCCCCTGTCTGTGTGCAGTGGGAGTACAGCGGCCCACCCTGACCGTCCTGCCCCCGTCCAGAGAGGAGCTGCAGAGGGGCAGTGCCTCGCTGCTGTGTGTGGCCAGTGGGGGCTTCCCCTCTGATTGGACGCTGGGCTGGAGAGTGGGCGGAGCTTCCACAGAGGGTCCCACAGCCCAGAGGTGATGAAGGGATGGCCTCTAAGCCGCATCAGCGTCCTGAGGCTGTCCACAGAGCAGTGGACAGACACATCAGTGAGCTGTGAGGCCCATCGGATGGACGAGCCCAGTCACTCAGAGCCCTGAGTCACTGTCCTGCTCCCAGTGAGACACGTCCACATGAGGACACACTTCACCTGCTCTATGGGACACTCCCTGGGTTTGACTGAGCTCATGGAGGCTCAGGGATAAACATGTGACTCTGCAGCTTCATGTTTTGTGCTAATAAAGCTTGTGCTGATCAAAGCATTTTGTCTTTTGTCCAGTGAATCATGTGGAGTATGAAATATTTCATCTAAGGCTACATTTTGATTAATTACTGTGTATACAATGTTGAGACTTACAATGTGTGTATTTGATATTTGTACAGGAAAAAACAAACAAACAAACAAACTACTGCAAAAAAAATAGACTGTCTACAATCCAACAGATTTCAGATTTGTGACTCAACATGTCCACAATTATTTAATAAAAAAAAAAAAAAAAAAAAAACCTGTTACTTTTAACATTTAAATCACGACTTTGTATTTGAAATTTATGACTCACATAGAGCACGAGTAAATACACTGTGGGAGGGATTCAGATATTATAACATGGTGCCCATGAACTTATGTCAGAATATTTGACTATATGACTGGTGCTTATACATTTCATATTTCTTTGCTGCATTCGGTTAAAGCACATGTGAATTGTGAAGAATTGTCTTGCAAAATAAAGTATACCTGAAATAGCTCCTGCTTCCAAATATTTTTCAGTGGGCCTCAATGCTTCACAGATCTGGGACAGTCTGTTTTATCTTACTCAGCAACACACTCTTGGAATGATTTAAGAATTTAATGGAATCTCCAGAGTCTAGTGTGACCTCAAGAAAAATGTAAAAAAGAGTGTTGACAAAAACATGTATATGCTTTTCTTGAGAGTGGAATTGAATTTACAATCTCATAATTGGTGATTTTCTCCTGGAAAAAAATATAATTAATCACAATGGCACATCCAGAAAAATTACTATACACATTCAAGAATTAGAGATAAATGTTTAGTGTAACTCCACACAGATCAGTGATGTGAGTTCCTCTTGAGCAGCTGCAGTTGTTTCCTGCTCTGGTCTCACTCTGAACAACTCACTGAGGGAGGTTTTTGTACGAGCACAAATCACTGTGTGAACACTGGGGCGTTGGAAACTCTGACAGTAATACGCTGCTGCATCTTCAGCCTGAGCTCCAGTGATCGGTCCTTAGAGAAGTCACTGTGACTCCCACTGCCACTGAACCGAGATGGAGTTTCTGACAGACGTTGTGTAACAAGTTTTAACCAGAGCTTTGGAGATTTACCTGGTTTCTGCTGATACCAGAATATATCCCAAGAAGACCCACCATTGTGATAAACATCTTTGTTAGTTTTACATGTGAGAGTGACTGTGGATCCTGGAGTAACTGTCTGGACTGGAGGCTGAGTGACTGTGACCTGACCACTGCATCCTGTAAAAAACAATATACATTTATGAGAAGAAACAGAGAGAAAAAAGGCAGTGTGTTGTGTTTCAATGTCACTGAGAGTGGAACCTGTGGAGCAGCAGCAGGCCAGTGTCCAGATGAGGATGGTGCAGCCCAGAGCCTGGTGTGTTCACTGACACATGTGAGTCGTGCATTCTTCAGCTCACTATAAAACTTCAGAAGGATCAGCTGACCATTGACCTTTAACCTGCTTGTGCATTTGAAGTAGGAACATCATTTGCATTCAATCATCCAAGGGGAAACAGAAGATGACTTGGCTAAATTAAACATCACTGATATCCTCAGATCTCTTATGTTAGTTTGCATTAGGTTTCAAGATGCAGAAGTCGGGGATTTTCACACTGAAGTGTCATCTTTGTGTTGACAGCTCTTACAGTATAGCTCCCTCTTTTGATGGACCATATTAACAGCAAGTCTGTAATTGTAAATTGGAATAGGCTCTAACATTGTGAACAGAAGGACTGAATCTGACATCATGTTTGTGGAGTGGTGATTTTGTTGTTTTGTCACCGCAGGGTAAAATATGACTGTGCTGTTTGGATCAATCTGTACAGAAAATGTGAAAATATTTAAAATCAACATTTGAATATCTTTGTATTTTTTTAAATAAGCAAGGAATTAAAGGTGCATTGTGTAACTTTTGTGGTGGAGAGTCTGTCATCTGTTTTTCTCATGTGGCAGATGCGAGTGGGTCTACCTTGAGATCTTGTAACTACTGGCTGAACCAATAATTAAACAATAATTAACAATTACAGTAACATAACTCATAATAAAGGGGGGGGGGAAATAACAACGCCATGTGGGAATTGGCCCAGGACCAGTTCATATAAAGGCACATGGGTTTGTTGTTGATGAATAGAGGCATAATTCACATGTATCAAAAGATACAGTTTATTTTATAATTTTTCCTTATGTGGCAAGACCGCTTGAGGGTCTAGCTGCAGTGCCTTACCTGCGTTCCGTGGCGCTGCGCTGGTGGGCTATTTAAGCGCTCCCTTCTCAGTCGTTCCCCCTTCTGGCTCACACGCTCTTCCGGGCCTCTCCTTGTGGCCGCTCTGTCCTCCAGCTCAGGTAACTTTCACTTTGTAAATTCCATACCCGTTACATCAAATTTCCTATCACGTTTCCTTTTAGTGTCGCTGCTTGGCCGCTGCTTGGCCACTGCTTGGCCGGTGCTCTCACCACATCTGATCCCTCGCGTCTCCGAGTCACAGAGCACCTAGGGCGCGCTTTCGTCTCTGGGGATTACGCACTGTCACCTTCAACCACGTATGTTTAGCCCAGATCCTTGCACTGCAGGCTCCGATTTTAATTCCAAAATTTAATTTTCTAGGTGTCAGCGGGGGCCTGCAGCGGCGTGAGGACACCACCTCTGCTGTTTTGTTTGTTCCGTTTTGTTTGCTGTTTGTTTTTGTTTGTTTGTTTGTTGTGTTTTGTGTTGCTGTGTTTTGTTTGCTGTGTTTTGTTTGTTGTGTTCTGTTTTGCTGTGCCTCTGCTTCACATTTGCTTTGTTTAGTTTTATCTTTGTTTTATGTCTGTTTTGCTGTTTTGTTTTGCTTCAGTTTTGCTTTGGGTTTTGGGGTTTCGTTTTGCATTTTCAATATTGTGTACTCGTTCTCTCACTGTAGTGTTTTACTGTTGCTGATTTTTATGGACGTAGCTACTTTTTAAACCACTTAAATCTGTCTTTTAAAATAGAAAGGAATAAAGATTTGTGTAAATGATGGAACCTGGCTCTCTCTCCCTTAATGATATGCTTACCTGTGGGCCTTACATTTAGATTTCATTTCCCCAAACTAGATTTGGGGTGGCGTTGTTGCAGCAAGTCACCATATAAACTTAACATTTCCCGGAGTGTTGAACCCCTCGGTTGCCACACTTAAATTAGTTCATTTTGACAGTAATGTTTCCAGGTGTCGGTTCACAGTTTACTGAAAGACTTTATTCCTAAGACATAAATCCAGTCCAAGCTCAAATCTCTGGAAAACATCAGTACACAGAAACAGCAAGGAAAGGCAAGGCAGCAACAGTGCACTCAACTCCATGGTTCAAGATCTGTATTAGTAGCTGGACGAGTGCGGCGAAGGGCAGAACCCAAACAGCTTTCCTGCCCACTAGCCGGCATGACAGGCAGTACACAGATGCCGCAGCAACATTGGCCCATGGCAGCAAGCACTGAGACTGGTGGACAAGCGGCATCAACGGGAAACCGGAAGCAAGAGTGTGAGGTCAGAGGGTGAGGGGACGGAAAGGGAGCGCTGTTATAGAATGACTGATGTCACTGCCAACCAATAGTCAGACTGCACCCAAGTTGTAGAGCCCACCCACAGGCCTACTCTCACACTCATATTATTGTTTTCTCTGGAATGTTTCACAGTATGGCTTTAAACATTTGTGTCTTCTTGGAAACCAAACCAGGACAAATTATCAGATCTGTGGAGAGGCAAACTCACTTATGGTCAGAATGCCTGAAGTTCTCGGTATTTTTGAGCAATAAAACCCCCTGTAATTGAATAAATGTGAGGCAGATCTGTTTAATGTTACACTGTGGAACATTTGAAGTAGAGCAATGAAGCCCAACTGAAAAGCTCAGCTGCTCAGCGCCGACTCTCCACAGGACACCAGTGTGAACTGGGAGGTGGACAGACAAGAGCTCAAGTTACACAAGACAAAAACTACACTCATCACAAACCAAATGGAACTAGACTGGTGAAAAAAAGAATATATTTACTTCATTTACAAATATTTTTCCTCAAATAGAGGTAAATGGCACCATGGGAAAATATACTGTGAATTTTTTATATTTCCATAAAAAGAGAGGTGTGTTTAAATTTTCATTTATAATAGCACATTTTGTATATGTTTTCAAAATAATATAAATATTTTGAAAGCTAGCAAACTAAACTGGAGTAAAAAAAAAAAAAAATGTATTAAATATTTCTACTAAATTACCAAATAATATAATAACAAAAATAAGTATTGAATGCAGTCTGAGATTTGTAGTGACAGTTTGATGTCAATAATAATCCATAGAAACAAGCAGGTAACGGACCCCCAACCAAAAAGTTACACAGTGCACCTTTAAAGTCTCAAATACATTAGGGTACATAAGATTTGTGGCGTAACATTTCCATAACTAACTTGTAACTGTTCTTGTTGACATATGTGTATGTAAATGTTTGTAATATGCTTACCACTCACATGGAAAGGGAACATTTCACTTAGGGCAAAAAAGGAACAACAAAACATGATAACAATAAAACCATGAGCTTATGTCACAACATTTGTTTTTAATAACTGTATTTTATAACTTTCATGTTTCATTGCTGCATTAGATCAATGCACATGTAAGTGAAGATATAAAAAAATTAATGACAAATGTTATCTATTAATGCTAACTGTCCCACCCTCAAATAAAAGAGAAATATAAATATTGATGAGAAATATAAATTAGATTAAGCATAAGTGAATATTTGGTGTAACTCCACACAGATCAGTGATGTGAGTTCCTCTTGAGCAGCTGCAGTTGTTTCCTGCTCTGGTCTCACTCTGAACGACTCACTGAGGGAGGTTTTTGTACGAGCACAAATCACTGTGTGAACACAGCACCGCTATGATAACTCTGACAGTAATAAACTGCTGCATCTTCAGCCTGAACTCCAGTGATGGTCAAAGAGAAGTCACTGTGACTCCCACTGCCACTGAACCGAGATGGAGTTTCTGACAGACGTTGTGTAGCATATTTTATCCAGAGCTTTGGAGTCTGACCAGGTTTCTGCTGATACCAGTGCATGCGGTCATTGCCATAAACATCTTTGTTAGTTTTACATGTGAGAGTGACGGTGGATCCAGGAGTAACTGTCTGGACTGGAGGTTGAGTGACTGTGACCTGACCACTGCATCCTGTAAAAAACAATATACATTTATGAGAAGAAACACAGAGAGAAAAGGCAGTGTGTTGTGTTCAATGTCACTGAGAGTGGAACCTGTGAAGCAGCAGCAGGCCAGTGTCCAGATGAGGATGGTGCAGCCCAGAGCCATGGTGCGTCCACTGACACATGTGAGTGGTGCAGTCTTCATCTCACTTTAAAACTCAGGAAGGATCAGCTGACCATGTGACCCTCCTCTCTATGGAAATACTGTCTCTGTACTCAACTCTACACTGAACCCACATGTATTAATCCTATTGGAATCATTTGAAATACACACATGTCAACAACACTTTTTTGTCGGACATAAGTATAGTATGAAGTATGAAGCAGTCACACTAGTCACATCAGTAATTAAAAGTACTGCACCTTAAAGACAACATTAGCACGTCACTGTATTATTAAACTTACTACTGTCAGCTCTGTACACAATTCATGCAAAAGGTTTTGCAACTGGGCACAGTTAATTATTCTATTATACAAAATATCACATCCCATTTCTTGATTCACAGTGAGTTTAAAGCACAGAAAATAAAACATGTCTGGAGATAACACTAACTACACCAAGTAATATGAATGCCAGAAAAAAATGAAGAAAAATTTGTTTACAAAAATACTACATTTACACATTTGTTCATGTTTTCAATCGTCCAAAGTAGAAATATGTACAGGTTTCAAAAAATGGATGATATAATGTTAGAAATAGTAAAAGGTGAGTGAATGTTGTGAGTGAAGTGAGAGCAGTGTGTGGAGGAGAACAGAGCAGAGGTTTTTGTACGGCCTCTTCATTACTTTGTATCACTGTGGTACACGTTTGGAGGAGGAACACAACTCATCGTGGACTGTGAGTACTTTTTACTTTATAATTTATCAGGACTACTTTATTACTGGTATTTTAGTAGGATTTTGGTTTTGTATATAGGCTGGTGAATGTTTATCTTTAATTTTTTATTTTATAGTTACAGTTGTATAGGTCAGTGCTAAAGAAACAATGCTCTCAAAAAACACAATTATTATTAGTTTTATTCAGTGTTGATAATGATAAAGAAACACAAAATATGTATAATTAATTTACTGAATTTTCCATAGACTTGCTGATTATGATTATGAGTTTTGCTAGTTTCCTTTTTGTGTTTTAAATTCATGTATTTAACATAAAAGAAATGACTTTCACTTAACACCAATGTCTGTTTATGAACTCAGTCATTTTTATGTTTAATTGTATTTACAACAAGTGAATTAGAAGTAATAAAATAAAAATAGTAAAATAAAATCAGCCCAGTTCAAGTGATCCCCTAAAAAATGTATTCATATTTTTCATGTGTAAAAAATCAACATTACTTCTAACAGTTTTTATGAGTATAATATCAGTCGTCCACGGTTCGCTGGTCAGACTTACAGTGAACAGGAAGTGAAAGACACAGATGTAAATGTCTCTAGTCTTCATCATTTTGTGCACTGACTGTTTTCTGACGTATTGATTTAATGTTGTGTTGTGCTGCCCCTGTCTGTGTGCAGTGGGAGTACAGCGGCCCACCCTGACCGTCCTGCCCCCGTCCAGAGAGGAGCTGCAGAGGGGCAGTGCCTCGCTGCTGTGTGTGGCCAGCGGGGGCTTCCCCTCTGATTGGACGCTGGGCTGGAGAGTGGGCGGAGCTTCCACAGAGGGGTCCCACAGCCCAGAGGTGATGAGAGGGGACGGCCTCTACAGCCGCATCAGCGTCCTGAGGCTGTCCACAGAGCAGTGGACAGACACATCAGTGATCTGTGAGGCCCATCGGAGTGGACAGAGCCCAGTCACTCAGAGCCTGGAGTCACTGTCCTGCTCCCAGTGAGACACGTCCACATGAGGACACACTTCACCTGCTCTATGGGACACTCCCTGGGTTTGACTGAGCTCATGGAGGCTCAGGGATAAACATGTGACTCTGCAGCTTCATGTTACTGTGTTTTGTGCTAATAAAGCTTGTGCTGATCAAAACATTTTGTCTTTTGTCCAGTGAATCATGTGGAGTATGAAACATGAAATCTGCACTTGGCTACATTTAAATTTATATTTGCAACTTTGAATCTCTCTGATCATTTAGTAAAGCAAATACATTAATATTCAATATTTAAATTCAAACAACAGCCAAACTTACCAATCAAGTTTGTAACTATTTTAATTTTAAATGTTTGATTTGATTGAATTGTGTTTTGTTTTTTTTTCTCACCCACACACATTCTAACAAAGTAGATGCTTTTGACCTGATCTCAGTAAGTGTGTAACTCTCATCATTTCCTGCTACAAAATCCCAAATTAAGGTTATTACATAAAGATGAACACATGTAATATTATATGGATGGATTGAACTGGTGGGTTGGTTGTGATGGTGACTGCTTTCTGAGACAAAGTCTAACTCCAGACCCAAATGAACATTTTCTACTTCTGCCAACATGAGGCAATTGAGACTGATAAATGCAGATTGAGAGATTAAAATAATATAAAGGTGAATGTTTGGTGTAACTACACACAGATCAGTGATGTGAGTTCCTCTTGAGCAGCTGCAGTTGTTTCCTGCTCTGGTCTCACTCTGAACGACTCACTGAGGGAGGTTTTTGTACGAGCACAAATCACTGTGTGAACACACCACCGCTATGATAACTCTGACAAGTAATAAACTGCTGCATCTTCAGCCTGAACTCCAGTGATGGTCAAAGAGAAGTCACTGTGACTCCCACTGCCACTGAACCGAGATGGAGTTTCTGACAGACGTTGTGTTGCATATTTTATCCAGAGCTTTGGAGTCTGACCAGGTTTCTGCTGATACCAGTGCATGTAATTATTGCCATAAACATCTTTGTTAGTTTTACATGTGAGGGTGACGGTGGATCCTGGAGTAAACATCTGGACTGGAGGCTGAGTGACTGTGACCTGACCACTGCATCCTGTAAAAAACAATATACATTGATGAGAAGAAACACAGAGAGAAAAGGCAGTGTGTTGTGTTCAATGTCACTGAGAGTGGAACCTGTGAAGCAGCAGCAGGCCAGTGTCCAGATGAGGATGGTGCAGCCCAGAGCCATGGTGCGTTCACTGACACATGTGAGTCGTGCAGTCTTCAGCTCACTATAAAACTCAGGAAGGATCAGCTGACCATGTGACCTTTAACCTGCTTGTGCATTTGAAAGTAGGAACATCGTTTGCATAAACCTGTGCAAGGGGAACAGAAGATGACTTGGCTAAAACACTACTTATTTCCTCAGATCCCCTATGGCAGTTTTCTGAATGATTTACGTTAGATTTCAACATGAAGAAGTAGGGGATTTTTGTGCTGACAGTTCTTACAGTATAGCTCCCTCTTTTGAAGGAACATATTGACAGCAGCAGTAGACCCAACACTGTGAACAGGACTGAATATAACATCTTGTTTCTGGAGCAGAGATTTTAATGCTTTGTCACCACAGGCTAAAATATGACTATTACTGCTACTACTAGTACTGGTTGATAAGCTGATTACATTTCAAATCAATTCTTCACTATTTCTTAAGAAACTTACAAAACAGTTGTGTTGTTTTGCTATGTCTGTTAAAATTTTAGCATATGAGGGAGAAGGGGAAAAAAATCTATCAGAGCAGTGTGTTATAATGGTGCAGGGCATGCATGAGAGATGTTGGTCAGAGGTGAGGTGAGCTGTAGGTGAAACAGAGGGTCAAGGTGGCTAGTCCTCACTCTTCACAGTTCCTGGTTCAATCCCTGTGTTGTCTGGGCATTCCTTTACAGAGTTTGCATCGTCTCACTGGGTCTGGGTGTGTTTCCTCATCAGCCGAATACATGCACCATTGGTAAAAATCCTCTAGCTAAAGTAGTCCTGACAAAGCAATCACGGCCATGGAGATGGGTCGTCAAGCACTGTGATGTGATGCTCATTACTCCTGAGAGGCACACTGGTGAAACAGTCAACCTTACATGAAACAGGCTTTATTGATTTGTAGTTCAGAAGATGCAATTACATTTTCAGTTCTGTTCTTTTTTAAATAGAGCAGGCATTTTTGGACATTTTTGCACTAAACACCATTTCATTGCTTTGAAATATCTGACCTCAACAGCGGTTGAGGGAGAAGCAGTGAAGCTTATCTTTTACAGTAAACACATTTGAATGCACCTGCCTTTGTGGAAGTGAAAGACCTGAAATAGAACTCAGATGTGTAGTTTAAGTCCCCATTGTCTTTCCCAAAATGTGTCACTTTTGTAAGTAATTTGCATTAACAGTTTGGGTGCAGTAATTATTCTACGAAGCACTAGCTACTTTTTCTTAGATGGATGTAGAACTCCCTCTGCTGGGTCAATGCTCGTACTACAAACCAACAGACTTAAGTCGACTGTCAGAGCCACAAAGCAGAACAGATTGTTTGATTTTAAAGAACGAGTGAAATGCAGAAAACAGCTTCCCCACGGAAAGTAATAAACTGAACCCTACTAACAACTACTCCTGAGTGCGGATATAAATCCAATATTGTTACTCAATGCATCTGCCAAACAAGATTTTTTGAAAGATGTTAAACAGATCATAGTTTTAAAAGCATAATATAACGCAATTTGGTTTGAATTCCCACCTCCGTCCACTTATTGAAGCTGAGGATTACTGTAAAAACAATATAATAAAACTTATTTCTGTCCCAGCTTCAGCAACAATAATTCTTTTCCTCACTGATTTAAATCACATAAATGTTTGACTGATTTTTGCATTTGACAGATTTCAAGTTTTTCAGGAAAATACAAAAATAAACTGCATATGTCAATTATGTTTTTTTGTGTTTTTTTTTGTTTGTTTGTTTCTTACGAAAGAGCATTGTAGTCAGTGAAAAAAAAATCTCGTAATTACGAGATAGTATCCCCCCCCCCTCGTAAAAAAAAAAATGTCGTAAAAACAAAATAAACTATCTCGTAATTACGAGATAATTACTGACTACAATGCTCTTTCGTAGTTTCTTTTTGGGCTGTTAAAATCTTTCTGATTTCCCAAGGACAAACCTACACCTACAGATGCAGCAGGGTCCGGGGAGTACAGTGTTACTCAAAATTAAATTTGAAAAAGGTAGCAAGCTGGCAAAATGTGAGATAAATAAGGTTTTTTTTTTTTTTTTTTCAGAAATGATTTCAGTATATGATAAAAAAAAAAAAAAAAAAAAAAAAAAAAAGATCTGTTCCTCTATCAGAGCAATTTTGCTGGTGTTTCATGAATAACTGATTTCAAGAACAAACATGTCCCCCTTCTGGTTGTCTGATGAGCATATTTAGGCCACTGTCTCCAGGTGGTCATACCTACTTTGTCCCACTATTTAACTGATGTAGCATTATTACCTCCGCCAAGGAGGTTGTTTTTGCCGGCGTTTGTCTGTTTGTTTGTTTGTTTGTTTGTCTGTTAGCAACATAACTCAAAAAGTTATGGACCGATTTTTATGAAATTTTCAGGATTTGTTGGAAATGTGAAAAGGAAGAACTGATTTCATTTTGGGGGTGATCCGGAAGAAATCCTGGATTCTGGATCACTTTGAAATTTTAGTTAACATTGTGGTAAATGGGGCCAAAAAATTTGTTTCTCAATATCTCGGTTAATTATTTACCAAACCGCATGAAATTTGACTCAGGGATGGACAATGGGATCCTCTTTCATATTCCAAAGGCTGATCCGGATCTGATCCAGAAGACTGATTTTATCGCAATTTATATAAAAATGGGGGTAGTCCTTGGCGGAGGTCTGCGCTCTCTGAGTGCTTTTCTAGTTTGTTTATTTGATGATGGATTTACGAAGAAAACATGACACACACACACACACAAAAAAAAAAAAAAAACTCAGAAAATGTAATTTTTAGGGGTGCTGCTTTTACTAACTTTCATGTCTGTCCCTTCATTATTTCACCCCTTACATATATATCATTATGCATGCCTACTAAATAGTGTACCCAACTCAACTATGAAGAAATAAGGCTGAGTTAACTGTCCAATACATTAAATTGGCAATAATCACAAAATGCCGACGGTAAATATCCACTTCGACCATGGACTGTGTGACTTCGGTGCGCCTTTTTAATCACCTGCTGTTCATACGTCATCCAAACGGATCGCTCTGATTGGCTAGCGGTCATTCAAACCCCTCCCACCACAGCTCGGCTAACAGTCAGCAACAGCCTGCCACCATCAGCAGGCAGAGCAGCGGGGTAAAAATACTTATCCAAGGTTAGCAAAACGGCTTTTAACTCTCCATGAATCCATCTAAACTTGTATTTAACTTTTGCAATGTCTGATTTGATCCTGCAGGAAGCGAGAGCCCGAAAATGAGTCAGTACAAGGAGCGTTTCGTGGCTCTGCTCCACGAGAAGAACTTTGTGACAGATCAGCTGGCTGTCCTAGAACAAAAAACGGGAGTGAAGAGGGAATATATCGCCTCGGGTAAGTTAACGACGAGTAACCGGACACTGGTGCTTTTAAAACTGTCAAAGCATGCATTTTACACCGCGTACGATCATCAGGATACGAAAACAATCACCCTGAAACTACGCGTATTGTTTTGGTTAGTTGTGCAAACTTTAAAATGACATTTAATGGTATCCACGGTTCAGTTAAGTTTATTTGCTGACATCAAACCTCTCAAGTGTATTTGTAATGTAATGTTCCAGAAGGATTATTTATTTAATGCATTTAACAAAAACGTTAGCTCCATAGTTGGTTCAACGTTTCGTAAAGTCTCACTATTTAAATAAAACATAAAATGAAATGATAATGGGTTCCCTATCCAGAGAATTGGCTTAATAAAAAGATTTCAGAAGTACAAGAAGATCACTTTAAAGGTGTAATTTGTAACTTTACAGGTGGAGAGACTTTCACCTGCTTGTCTCCATGGAGATGTTTTTGATTTGCCGGGAATGTTGCACAGTATGAATTAACATTTAACTTTAGCTGTGTCCGATCACAAGGTTATTCAGAAAGATCACAAACTAAGAAGCTGCTTTTGATGCTTTAGAGTTTGTTTCAAAAATAATCTTTGGACTGGAATTAAAACATTTGAAATAAAATAAACGCAAGCTAAATAAGATTAATGCAAAGATGAGCAACATTCCAGACAAGACAACAATATCTCCATGGAGACAAGCAAGTTACATAGTGCCCTTTTTCATATTACACAAACTGGGACTTCATTATGATGTGACACAAGATCCATCCAGACACCACAGAGGGAACTACCAAACTAAATACAATGGGGCATGTTTAGTATAAAAAGGAACTGAAAGTCTGTTGGGGAAAATGGGATATGATTAGTGTTATGTCTGCTCAGACTTCAGTAGTATAACCTAAGCCTGTCACGATATATTGTTGAAGTAAGCAAAAGATGTTCATTTTGTCTTCTTATAAAGAAGTTATTGTTGAAGTAAATATAGATGATAAACGATAATATTAACAAATTAATTCCTCTGACACAATGACCCAAGGGCAGATTTAAAACAAAAAACTATTCAAAATCTACAATTTTATTAAACAAATCATGAGCTGCATTAAATAGCAGAATTAAACACTTGAGTCCTTAGTTTGCATCTGTAATGAGTCATAGAAGTTATTAATTCAACATTTTACAGCTTAAATCTTATCATATAGCCAAAAAAATAACCAACAATCTCCCATTAGAGCAAAGACAAAGTACACAAGATAAACGCTGAAGAGAAAAGGTAGAACTGGGTCATAAAAATTTTTTTAAAAAAGCAGTACAGGTGCTCTAAGTACTTTAAGTATATTCATTGTCTGTGTGCCTCGGGTTTGTACCTTTTCCAGTAACGGCTACATTCTGTTGAGTACACAAGATAACTATTGACCACCCCAAAATATATTGTTCCACCTTTCAAATATTGAACAATATAGTAATTATCGTGACCGGTATTGGCACTACCTTCTGATCTAATTTCACATCCTGTCGTCACTTTTACTACCCTCCTCCAGTCTGAATGCCAAAGTTCATTCAGCTCCAACCTTTATTCTACATTTTTAGATTAGAGTAGCCTTGTAATCTTTCTCACATGCTTTTTCAACGCACTTTTGCCCTTTGCTGTAACATAGGCAGCGTCCAATCCCATATGAACTGCCACAGCTGGTATTTTTGTCAGGTCCTCAAGTATCAAGCACAAGAGAGGAAAGGGGGTGACTATTTGGGAGGACTGGTTATTCAGCTATATGTGTTTCATGTCTAGCTTGGAGGTTTTTGGCTCTGGTGAAGCTGAAATACAATCAACAGATGCCAGTCTAAACAGGCGGACGTTGATAAGCCCTGCCAGTAGCACAGGAAATGGGCCAAACCAGAGTGACCTAGTTTTAAATTAACAATCGATCTGTTAAGTTTGTGCAGCAGTTACGTTGTTTGACATTCATGTTCAAGTGCAAAAAGAAGCGTGTGAAATGTGTGCAAATGTTGTGGCTAAGGTTGGTTAGATCAGGATCAAACGCTACCATCTGCAAATAGCTCAGGGATAGGCTATTTTCAGTGACTGCCCGTTTCAATATAGCAATATGAACCTCTGCATTACTCACTGTAAATGTAAGTAAGACTGCAGTGCGTTTTTTAATCTGAATCAAAATTAGAGTTGTTAAAAAATTTGTACCAGATAATAAGTGGTACTAAAGTTGATATCAAAACTAAACAAGTATTGATTCAGAAAAAAGGAAGTGTACATTTTGACTTTCTTCTGAATGTTACAGAATTCTCAGAACTAGTAGAAGGCCACAACGTAATGTTAAAGAAACAACTTTTTTGTTTTGAAAATTACATTCTGTTGTTAAAAAGGGATTAGTGGTGTTGAAACTTGTAATGAATATCAAAGCCTTTACTAGGGATGCCTATGCTGGTATCGAATATCGGCACAGATACTGTAAAATCTGCTGGATGATGTATTGGTTCCATGAAAAGGGTTTCAGCCAATACCCTGGTTAGGCCTTTAATTGGATGTAATAAGACTATAGTATTTTCAGACTGATTTTGTCCTAGAACATCTCATTAGATTTGAATTTTCATTCATACAAAGCTAATTTGAAGACAACACAACTGGATCTCTTGTTTAATACTGCACATTAAAATTCAAATAAAAGGGTAATTCAAACAGTTTATCAAATTGTATTCAAGATTGTTGTGCTAAATTGGAAGAAAGCTCCATTTTGTGTATCTGTTATACTTCTCATTTGGTGGCTAAGTTGAAGAAAGCCTGTGACTCAAATTCATCATGACTTCACTTTAAACACACTGTTTTTGTAAATTCCCAGTTTTAAGTCTCGCCCTAGTTTACTCTCATGATTATTAGTGCACCTCCATACACAAACACAAAATGGGCTGTTAAGCAAATATCTCAACTCCTGAGTAAATACCAGGAGCATGAGTCTGCTCTCTGCATTTAACAGGGCTGAGTAAATTATAGTGGTCCTAACACAGCCACTCCAGTACTGCGTAGTTCAGTGAGTTAAAAGACAGTCATTTGTCATTTTGGTCACTTGAACAGCTTGTACACAGAATAGATTACAGGTTACATAATGCAATGTAAAATACTCAGCTGTTTGCTCATTGTTGTGAGCTGTTTGTCAAGTTGAAGTCAGCTCTCAGTTTGTTTTTGTGCAGAATTTTTCTCAACATCACAGGTCTATGGTGCTGAAGTGTAAAGATGAGAAAAACGGTTTCTGTCTTGCCTCAAAAAGGAATTTCTGATCAAACCAAAACACACACACAGTGTAGCACTTCCTGTATTACCACATGACATCACATGGTAGAACTGAGTGTGCAACATGTAACTCTTTTTTTTTTTTTTTTTTTTTTTGTCCAGTTCAAATGTAAACACTTGGAAAAAAAAATCACACAAGATCGTTTTTCTTCGTGAGTGCACAATCTTGTGGCAATTTTGTCACACCATCCTTAGGAAATGCATATTGCTGGTTTCAGATGACAACACAATATTCTATAGGCCAATATTATTTAATACAGATGGGGGCTGCTAGCATATTTATTAATAGTTACGATGTACTTTGTAATTAATAGTTGAAATCTGGCTTGTGCCCCAATCTGAGAGTATGATAATGACAATAATCTTTGCTTTGTTTCACTTCAATTTATATGATGAAATGACTTTTTAAGCACTTTTAGATGTTAGTTCTTTGGATTATGACAGAACCAAAGGCTTGTCCAGGCATTTTAAAAGGAAAAAGTATGTATATTGTGAAAATATCATATCAAGTTATATCCCTGTTTTTGGAGCTGGAAAACCAAATCTTTATACAGCTTGGGATCTAACAAAACTTTATTATGTACCAAATGTCCCTAGAGATGCATTGGGGGAAAAAAAACATGTAAAAATTTAAACAAAAGAACCATGGAACGACGTGATACAGTTAACACTATATCCATGGGTTTCAGAATGATGTGAAATTAGGACCGTTGCCATAGCAATACAACTAAATTAAAAACTAAATATGTACTTGACTTATTATTGATTCCTTTTTTTTGTTGCAGCTCATGTCTTTTTAATGACAGTGTATTTAAAAATCAGTTTACTGGAATGATCTTGCTTTGTGTCAGTGGTATAAAGTAGTTTCAGTATTACAATTTATCACAATATTTATCTGTAGCAATATTTCATATGTTATCATGACAGGCCTACAGATAACATTATGTGACTAATAATTACATAATCCTTACTCTGCTAATGTGATGATTCAAATTGCAATTTTAATTCAATTGCACTAACTTCTTGCAGCCATCCTCTGGATCCTACAGCAGATATTTGGATACGCCTTAGCACGTGCAAATTACATGCAAATAACCGGTGTCGGTTAGAGCTTTGTCTCAGTTAACCCTTCATGTACTGATGTTGTTTATTGCTACTTTTAATTGTTGTTGCAATGTATGTATTAGATTTGCGTGGTACACTATGTTATCTTTTCAGCTCAGTATGGACCACTGAGACCTTATGGCTGGCTTGATAATATTATTGACTCAGCAGGGTTCACCTATGGAAAATAATGGTAATACGCTGACCTAATAAAATAGCTGGTATTTTGTGAAGTCAGCAAGCTAGCCTTTATTTACTGCAGTGAGGGCTTTGTCTCTGCTGCAAAACTCTATTTAAAACCATAGCTTACTCATTGATGCATGTGTCTGCTGTTGGTTATGGTGTGGTTATTATTATAGTGGCTGGCTATGCAAACCCTGGTTCTTATGAGGAATCTTTCACTGAATTGTCAAACATGCTTAAGTCAGGGTTATAGCAGCCACGTGCAAAATGTGTACTCAGATAGAATATCCGGGAAACTGTGTTTTGCTAAGACTTAAAGGCATTATATTATGGAAAATCGACTCTTGTGAACTTTAATCCATGTATAATGTTGTTACCTCCTGAAAAACATATCTGGAATTGCTTTCTTTCATTTACATGATTGAGTAATCTTTTTATTTTTATTGTGCATCTCCAAAGCTCAAAATGCTCTGCTCCACCTTGTGATGTCATGTTTTGGTTATTTGTAAGCAGCTACTTTTTACCTTTTAGTTCAGTAGAAATGGGCAATCCTGAGGCTAAAATTGTACAAATGATTATAGTGAAGGTTTGTGGAGTTTAAAAACAGAGTGGAGCATTTCCTGTATTACCACCACATCACATGGTAGAACTAAGTGTTTGAGAAAATAACCTAAGTATGCAGGGTTTGTGTGTTAAATGTATGAATGAAACAAAACACAACTCCAGGTATGTTTTTGACAAGGAAAAAATATTAAAATATATGTCAGAAAATAGTAATAGAGAGTAATATGGCCCCTTCAAACTAATGCCTCTTGTCACCTGGCAATGCAGTGCTCATACATCCAGCTCTTACACAACCTCACTTGATATAATTCTCAAAATAAACATCAGCTGCAGATTAAAGTATTGGTATTGACTAACCTGTTTCTCTGTAGGTGGCCTGGGATTAGTCGGACTGTACCTTCTCTTTGGATATGGAGCCTCGCTGCTCTGCAACCTGATTGGCTTCATTTATCCTGCTTATTTCTCGTATGTATTGCCACACTACAGTTTGTATGACTATTTTTTTTATTATTATATTATAATATTTATTATTATTTTTTATCATTTATCATTTGTTTAGTCTTAGTTTAGGCACTGGATATTTCTGTTTTCCATTGGTCTTTGTTTATTTCCCAAAATATGTTGTTAGAATAGATTAATTTATACATTTATTCATATGGCACCTATATATATATGACACTGCAAAAAACCTTACTTTTACTTGTGATTTTGTTATTATCAATGGAAAACAATGCAATTTTTTTCCTTGTATTCATTACTGTTTTCCATTTTATTTGACTAATTTTCTTTTTCATCATTACTGTTTTTAAACAACAGTCAAATTTAATCCTTGAAAATCCAAACTGTGCTCTCAATAACTTTATTTTTCTGACAGAAGTTTGGCTGTAGACCTATTTTTTAAAAGCTCCAAGATGATCACTGACGATTTAAAACGATTGGATCTCAATTTGATTGAGATTTAGTTAAAGCCACCGCCCTGGTAAAATGGAATTACTTGAAACTCAATTTTAAAAACGCTGCTTTAATAAAGCATGCCTTCCTGTAAAAGTACCTTTTCTGTTTGAATAAAGGAGGGTTGTCAAAATAAATTGATACCTAGATACTCATTGATACTAAAACTACTATTGACACTGGACCCCTTAACCTAGAGCAGCACATAGGCCTGTCATATAATAAATTTTGAAACATGATATTTTGCTACAGAGACATACTGCAATAAACGATATACAGCAACTCCTGTCATAAAAATCTTAAAGCAGGATTATCCCAGTAAACAAATTTTAAATGGACAGTATCACTCAAAGGCCTGAGCTGCAACAAATACAATGCAGAATGAAGTTATAATTAGCCATAGAAGTCACTTATATAACCTTTTTAGAGCTCAAATGTTATTGTATTACAACTAAATAGTCATTGGTTACATTTTTATATAGCACTTTTCCACCTTCAAGGCACTCAAAGCACTTTACATTAAGGAACCACTCACCCATTCACACACACACATTCATACACCAGTGTACACAGACACTAGGGGTGAGGTGGTTTAAGTGTCTTGCCCAGCGACACAGCGGAAGCTGTGGGAGCTGGAATCACACTGCTAACCTGTGGGTCTGTGGATCTGATCGATCAGCCAGTGATTTATGTCGAAGTTTCGAACCGCCACCCTTCAGAACCAGTGGGCAAACACTCTACAACCTGAGCTACTGTACCCCAAATTTCCCAAAATTTATAAATAAATTGTCCACATGACAAATACTGAACGCCAAAATTTCCAGCTTTCATATATTAATCGATATAGTAATTAATTATCATGACAGGTCTAGCAGCACAAAGGGCCCATTCCACTAAACACAGTAGCTACTTCTTTTAGACATTGTAGTAAAAAGAGGAGATGTTGTCTCCTCTGGCACAGCTCTGTCCTTGTGTAGAATCACACTGAGTTTGCTGGTGCCCCCAGAAGCTGAGCTGGCACCTGTCTGTGTGTTTCAGCATCAAGGCCATCGAGAGCAACGTGAAGGAGGACGACACCCAGTGGCTCACCTACTGGGTGGTGTACGGCCTCTTCAGCATCGCAGAGTCCTTTTCTGACATCTTCCTGTCCTGGTTCCCATTTTACTACGCTGGAAAGGTGCACTCCCTTACACTAAAGTGTCTTACGTCATGTCTACTCCTAATGTTTTTGTTTATTTTGATGTATCTGGTTTTGTCTTACTTGGATAAACTTTTATATAGTTGACAGAATTATATTTTCTTCTGCTATGGATCCTACCTCGATGATGGCGGGATTACACAGACATTTTAGATAAACTTTATTTAGCCACATGGACACAGTAGTTCATTGTAAAAGAATCCTAAAAGCCCTATTAGTTACAAAATAGAATAGATAAGTAAAAGAAATAATAGAGCTGTTAGCTTAGTTGTCACCAAAAACCCAGAAATGTATTTTATGGTTCATGTCACCTCACAGCAGTGAAAAATCATTATTCATAGGTGGTGAGATGTTGACAATATAATGATTTGACTGTTTACCTGTCCATATCTTTGTATCTAGCTATAGGTTTCGGAATGATGAAAAATTGGGATTGTTGTCATAATTATTAACGATTTGAAACAAAACCGATTTTTTGAATGGGAAAAATGTTGCATAGAATAGGAATCTGAAATGCAGATTTCTGCACTTAGTGCCAGTTCTAGGGTCTAATTCTAGGGTCTAGTCACTACTGGAAATGAAAAGCTTCAACATTTATACATTTTTTGGATATTTCTTATGAGAATACCAATTAATCAATAGGAAAAACTGCATATTGCCCCCATCTGGGAGTACGACATCACCACATTCTAGTACACCAAAACAAATACCTGTACTTTTATCCATTTCCATTTTCGACATGCTTATATCTCTGTTTAATATTTTAACATAGTTGTCATTTGTTAGTATGTGTTCACTTTTGTCCCTGCCCCAGTGCCTGTTCCTGATCTGGTGCATGGCCCCTGTGAGCTGGAACGGCTCAGACATCCTGTACAAACGTGCCATTCGCCCCTTTTTCCTGAAGCACCAGGCCGCCATGGACCGAGTGGTCAACGATCTCACCAACAAAGCCAAGAACATCACTGACACTGTAGCAAAGGAAGGTGAGGAGACATCGTAAACTACTGTGCTCTTGTCACAGAATTTTCATCATTTTTAAAGCAGACCTATAATGCCAAATTGACCTTCAGAGTTGTAGTTGTTTCCCTTCCCTCTAAAAGTAGTTTTAGAGTGATTCCTGCATAGTTTTATCTTTATTCAGCAGCATCACATGGTCATTTTGGTACAAATAATAGGAAAAAATCTGCTATTCGCTAGTGTGATCTGCAGCTATCCATTGGACTTTTTGTTGTGATGACGTTTATAACAGTGTCTGCTCCTAAAACCGGTATTTTCAGAGCATTTTCATCCAGAATGCACTAGACTAAGGATCACTTGGATCAGTCACTCTACAAATTAGAATCAGTAAATGAGAAGGGAAAATTATTCAGACATGTCTTCTTTAACACATCTCTTTGACATCAATGCATGCTGAAATTCATTATTCCTTTTTTTTTTTTTTTATTCGTCCAGCTGTTAACAAGGCTCTAAACCATGACAAAGACCAGTGAAGACGTCTGAGGAGTGTGAGTGCGAGATAAAGTTTGTGTCTTTTCTTTTCTGTGAAGATGGTGGATTTCTGAGGCTTCACGGTCCTGAAAATAAAGAATAAAAACTGCTCAGCAACACCATTTTACCTCTGTTGGTACTGGCAATGACAATTAAGTGAAAATGTGACCTTTGTATAGGAATAACTTATTTTTTTGGAAACACTAATCAGGTACTTGATATTTTGAATTTTCAGGTTTTCAACAAGCTGAGCCAAAAGTGACCCCAAATGACACTTGAATTGACAGGGTTGCCTTTATTTTAACATTTTTACCATCTTTGTTAAAACATTTTAACACTGCTGTGAAATAGCCTTATTATTTCCAACTGTGCCAAGTAGCATTGAAGGTCTGAGGGTTTATGAAGGTTTCATCTTTTAACTGGAAAGTCTATGTCTTTTGTATGTCTTAATTTATCGACTTATTGTGCTAATAAAAATAACAAAACTGGAACTTGAATAACTAAAGAAGTGTTTCATGCTTGTTCTGTTTCCAAGTGTCAGTCTTTGCACATCATGTTTTTATTTGCACCAAAATACATTGTTCACACACCACAGATCTCCATAATTGTGTTTTGTGGCTGGGGACACAGAAGGAAATTGCATTTTTAGATCTGTAACCTCGGCAGATTTGGCTCTTCCTTTTCCATTAAATGTGTTGCTGAACAGTTGTTTGCTATACATCTATCCCCCTCAGTGCCTTGGGGGGGCTATAAAGTATTAAACTAAAACATCTTTAAACTGTCTTGTACTGAACAGCTGTGAACGCATCCAATTAGACTGTCACAGATGTAAGTTCAGGCTTGCAAAAAAGACACTTCAATTAACTTTTCCAATCTATTTAATTTAGCAGTTTATAAGAAACAATGTGACAAAAGATGATCATTATTTAAAGGCCCCATATTAGGCTGTTTTCTGACCTATGTTACAATGTTTCCATATCAAAACCTTAGTCTGAGTTGTATTGACACATGTTTAACACTTGTTTTAAATTCTCTGAAACAGAAAACACTCTTTCATGTTGTGATATCATGTGTTAATATAGGAAGTACTCCACTGTGTTTTTGAAGTCAATACATACGCCTTCACTTGAGTGATTTGGACAATTTCAACCCTGGAAATGCCCATCTGTACTGAACAAAAGGTAAAAGGTAGTGAGATGCAGACAGACTAATAATACTTAAACTTGTGAATAAAACAAAACACCAGGTATGTTTTTTGAGAAAGTAACATAAAATAGCTTACAAGAGTCAAGTTTGTGTATTGTAGGGACCTTTTTAAAGTTTTATTTTTTATTGTGATCATTTTAAACTAGTTCTATGTTTAGCTCTGTTGGGTCTAGTTTGGTCTATGCACCATGTAATCGTAATATTTAGTCCTGATTTTGGCTATTCATCTGTATTTATTTATTTATTTTATTTTATTTATTTATTTATTTATTTTTACTAATTTATTTCAATTACTTTTGAGATCTCCCATACAAAGGTCTAATCTTAAATACCTTTAGCAGCTGCTGACTCTTATTAAAACCACTATTCATTCTCTGCACTTGATCTTTTAACCTCATCCTTTGGTGTATTTACGCACATTCATACCACCCATCCACCCGGTCTTTAATCTGCGTTTGGCGCATGCTTTATGCTCGAGAGCCCCCGAATGAAGGGCCCTTTATGTCTGTGCACTGGATGTATTACATGGACCACTTGTATCTTCCTACATCTTTTGCCGAGGGGAATTTAAAGTGCGTATGAAAGGTTTTTATTGTGTTTTAAATGTCACTTGGTATGGTGGAATAGTACCTGTAGTAAATATTTATCATAGCATTAAGTCAGTTACGTAGTAGTTTGTAGGGAAAAAATTTGAGGAAAAGGAAGTTGCAATGAGATCTAAACAGAATCCCTTTACCTATGTTATTAACACAGAACATTTTTTCCAAGCAGGGACAGTTTACACACAAGGATGACTTTAATTATCTGCCAATATCTGAAATTAACTTATACCGAAGGGCAGAGACAGAAAATATGATTTTTTTTTCTTGTAACACAAATGGTATGATTAAATATTACCCAAATGTGTTTTGTAATTTATTCACTGAACCAATATCTTGGAATATATACAATACATCAAAATTGTCAATATTGTATCGTATTGGTGCATCCCTAGTTTAATCCAAAATAAATGTGTTGTCATATATTTATTTTTTAATATTTTTTAAAGTATAAAATATTGTGCCAGGTTTTGGCCCTTGTTAACATTATAGTTGCCAGGTAAAGTTTTGGAGTCAACTCTGTCATAAAAAAGTGAAATTATAAGTCTAACCTGTCACTTTAAGGCTCTTGTCTCAAAATCTTCTGGTTATGATGAAGTGCTGGTGGGATTTATGTGTGACTTACTCATGTGCACTCCGAGCCGCTGGTGCCCAAACAGGTATTGATCTGAAAAGGTCCCATGCACTGGTCAGTAATTACATTGTTCTGGGTGATGCTTTGTCCAAAGCCCCTGAGCCGAGAGCTGGCTTGCATTCTTCTTCATACCCTGTTAAAACACTAAAACACCTGCCATGTAATGTTATTTATGTTGCTTTGTTTGTACTCTTCAAACAATGCTAATTTCTCATTTTGGAAACATTTTAGTGGCTCAAAAAATACTTGTCATGTATCATCTAGGTCTATTCATGGTTTTCAGTATCCTGTTATTATCAACATTTTAAGGACTTTTTGTCAATCTCAAGATATTATATTTTGTTAGTGATATTTAATATTCCTATGAGATTTTACATAATGATTCACCTCCCTCACTTTACCTTACATCTTCTTGTCCTTTCTTGCAACATCTAAAAGTCTTTTGTCTACAATTATAGTCTATTATAGTGTCTTACTCTAACCAATTTATTTCTAAAACATCTCATATAAGCTGTCTTTCTAATGCACAGACTGACATCTAAACTCTTTTAAACATATTTTGGTCATTTGTATTACACTTTAGATCAAAACTGCTGTGTTTGATGCTCTGCTCAAAATGTTGTTTCTGTGACAATGACAGTAAACTATTAAATCTTGAATCTCTTCAGTCTTAACCAGGGGTGGAAAGTAACTAATTACATTTAGTTTATTATTTGACTATTGTGAGCTTTAAGACATTCTATAATGTTGTTCAGAAACATACCTGGAGTGTTTGTTTCATTCACATATGTTTAAGTAATCCTGCATTATTGTCTGTCTACATCCCCAAAACTCAAAACGCTGTGTTCCACCCTGTGATGTCATGAAGCTTTAGGTTTTAAGTTAAAAGCTACATTTTACCTTTAGTTTAATAGAGTTTGACAATTCTAGGGCTGAAAACATTCACATGATTAAGATGTATGGAGTTTAGAAACACAATGGAGCACTCCCTGTATTTCCACAGGACATCACAAGAAGAAGTGTAGTTTTTTTTTTCTTTTTTTTTTTTTTTGAGAGAAGAAATCGGCCTAAATATGCAGGGTTTGTGTGTTAAACATGTGTGAATGAAACAAAAAACAACTCCAGGTATATATATATTTGTGATGAGGAAAGAACATTATAACATAGAATAGAAAATAGAGCAATATGGACCTTTTAGTACACATTATCAGTATTCTTCCCACCGCTGCATTTGACTTATTCTTAGTTTATAACACTCCTAAATCCAAATGCCACGTTTAAACACTATACTATTGGAAATCCACTCCAGCATGATCCCTCTCCCCTCTGATCTTCAGTCATAATCCCTGCCACTGAGTCGATCAATTCTAGTTGTAATCACCTCGTCTCCTCTGCGGCCTATCTCAATGTGAGGGCTGCGGTTTTTCGTGTCGCCACTAGAGGGAGACACACACTTTACGCCGTGTCTCTGGTGAGTCATGGACCGTCACGTTACTGTCGACCGCAGCACAAAACAAGGCCTGGTTACAACAATGCTTATTTATGAGCACATGGGGACATTTTATTCACTGCTGGTCGTCACTGTAGCGGAAAATCTAACAAGTCAATCAACCGTGCGTCAAGAAATGAACGTCATAAAAACACGCAGATCTACTTCCTGGATTATAAACCTCGACATTCATTCTACCCCACTTATAGCTACATTTAATACATTTGCACTTTTTTTTTTTTTTTTTACACATAAGTGCGTCAGTAGTTCTGTGAATGCTTGCTTTGCTCGTCATGGCTGAAATTCAATACTGGAGCTGTCCTTGGTGCTGAAACTGACTATACAAGACTGTGATTACGCACGTGCCGAGTTGTTCTACACAGACAGAAACCATGACAATTTAAGTCCAAAATTTTGACTGCTACTGTACACAAGAGTTGCTAGGTGTCGCCATTTTGTATTTGACAGGTAAGGGAATAAGGGGAATTCCGTATATGCTATATTTGGATAACATAAGAAAAAAAATACTGACGTCAAAAAGCGGCGTAGTCTCCATAATGTAGAGCCTATATGGTTTAAAGGGCCCTTCTGATTCAGGTTATAATGTTGTTTCCTCATAAAAAAAAACTCACTTGGAGTTTGTTTTGTTTCATTCACACATGTTTAACACACAAATCCTGCAGATTTAGGCTGAGTTCTTCTCTCAAACAGAAAACACCTTGTGATGTCATGAGTCAATACAGGAAGAGCTCGATTGTGTTTTTAAACTCCATACACCTTCATTAGAATCATTTGGATAATTTCAGATCTGGAATTGCCAATCTCTACTGAACAAAAGGTAAACTGTAGCTGTTAACTTTAAAACTACCGCTTCATGACATCACAAGGTGGAACAGAGCATTTTGAGCTTTGGAGATGTAGACAGACTAATAATAAAGAATTACTCAAACATGTCTGAATGAAACAAAAATACAAATCCAGGTATGTTTTGAGGTAACAACATTATTACATGGCTTAAAGCTGACAAGAAGAATTTTGTCTAATAGTGGATCTTTAACATACATTTTGGAGTTGTGATCATGTTATATTTTTTACTAATCACACAAGTCAGTATCAATCAATCTGTGCTAATACAAAGTTAAAAGGCATCCCGCTTCTCTATACTACCACTGTATTGTGATGCAATGTAGATTAAACTCATGTACGTAATAATTTCTAACAATCCTAACAGTTTAGGAAATAGGCAGAAGTGTAAAATAAAAACTTAAAGGTGTGTAACTTTTGTAGTGAAGGGTCCACCACCAGCTTGTCTTAAAGGAAATGTAATTGCTTTGCCTGGTATGTTACACAGTATGACATTAAGCATATCCATTTCCATAGCAACAGGCATGTAACGCCACCAGACCAAGTTACAGGTCAGATCTATGGCAATGTTACCCTGCCTACAGTATGAATGCATGTTTTTTTTTTAAATGTATGAATGAGCAACCAAATCACCTGTAATTGTATTAAATGTAATGGGATATTCAAGGCAAAGCAATATCATCCCCATGGAGACAAGCACATGGCAAACCCTCCAGCACAAAAGTTACACAGTGGATCTTTAAAGATGTTTTGCTGATGCAGAACAAAATGGCACTTATTTGGCATCTTTAAAGACAGTGATCAATAGTGGATATCAAGATCTCTTTTCTTTTTTGGCTTCTCATCACTAGGAAGTGTCTGAAGAACTGAAGAAGAGTGGGCAGAATACAGGATAAAAAGAGTAAAACTTAAAATATATTTAGGCTATAAAGAACTGCGCAAACAAACTCCAAGTCCCAGTATATTTGGCATCTAAAGATTACTGTGGTCAATACCGGATATCAAGGCATTACATAGTCTCTTTTTCTGGCTTCTCATCATCAGGAAGTGTCTGAAAAACTTAAGAAGAGTGGGCAGAATACAGAATGAAATGAGTAAAACTTAAAATATATTTAGCGTATAAAGAACTATCTGCTTAGACAAAGTGCAAGTCCCAGTATATTTGGCACCTAAAGATTACTGTGGTCAATACCGGATATTAAGGCATTAAATAATATCTTTTTCTGGTTTCTCATCACCAGGAAGTGTCTGAAAAACTTAAGAAGAGTGGGCAGAATACAGGATAAAATGAGTAAAACTTTAAATATATTTCGCTTATAAAGAACGATGTGCATAAACAAACTCTAATTCCAAGTATAACTGGCACCTAAAGATTACTGTAGTCAATAATGGATATCAAGGCATTAAAATAGTCTCATTTTCTGGCTTCTCATCACCAGGAAATGTCTGAAGAACTGAAGAACTGAAGAAGAGTGGGCAGCATACAGGATAAAATGAGTAAAACTTAAACTATATTTAGTGTATAAAGAATGATGTGCGTAAACAAAGTGCAAGTCCCAGTATATTTGGCACGTAAAGATTACTGTGGTCAATACCGGATATCAAGGCATTAAATACTCTCGTTTTCTGGCTTCTCATCACCAGGAAGTGTCTAAAGAACTGAACAAGTGTGGGCAGAATACAGGATAAATTTAATATAAGAAAATATTATGCCTATAAAGAACATGCGTAAATAAATTGCACGTTCAGGTACATTTGGCAACTAAAATGTCTGTGATACCGGATATTAAGGCATTAAATAGTCTCTTTTTCTGGCTTCTCATCACCAGGAAATATCTGAAAAACTTAAGAACTAAAGAAGAGTGGGCAGCATACAGGATAAAATGAGTAAAACTTAAAATATATTTAGCGTATAAAGAACTGCGTAAATGAACTCCAAGTCCCAGTATATTTGCACCTAGAGATTACTGTAATCAATCGCGGATATCAAGACATTACATAGTTTATTTTTCTGGCTTCTCATCACCAGGAAGTGTCTAAAGAACTGAACAAGTGTGGGCAGAATACGGGATAAATTTAAGAAATTAAGAAAATATTATGCCTCTAAAGAACTATATATGTAAACAAATTGCAAGTTCAAGTACATCTGACACCTAAAATGTCTGTGATACTGGATATTAAGGCATTAAATAGTCTCTTTTTCTGGCTTCTCATCACCAGGAAATGTCTAAAAACTGAAGAAAAGTGAGCAGAGTACTGGTTAACATGAATATAACTTAGCCTTTGAAGAACTGAAGGAGAGTGGGTAGAATACAGGATAAAATGAGTAAAACTTAAAATATATTTAGCTTATAAAGAACGATGTGCGTAAACAGAGTGCAAGTCCCATTATATATGGCACCAGTATGGCTGTGTTACTAGATATCAAGGCATTAAGTAATCTCTTTTTCAGGCTTCCCATCACCAGGAAATGTCTAAAAACTGAAGAAGAGTGGGCAGAGTACTGGTTAACATGAATATAACTTAGCCTTTGAAGAACTATGTGAGTTAACAATATTCAGGTCCCAGTATATTTGGCACCTAGAGATTACTGTAATGAATCGCGGATATCAAGGCATTAAATAGTCTCTTTTCCTGGCATCCCACCACCAGGAAGTGTCTAAAATTGAATAAGTGTTGGACGAGGAAAAGGGAGCGGGCATCAGAGCAGCGCCTCCCCTCCCACGTCCTATCTGCGCGGAGTGAGGAAGCGAGAGAGGGAGAGAGAGTCTGCCGATCCAAAGCCCCACTGCTACCGCTGCTTCTGCCGAGCTTTTCCTTTCGTGTTTTGGAAAAATCGCGTACATGAGCGCTACATGAACCGAGTAAAATGCACTACGAGTCTCTTACATCCGTCTGAACCAAGGACTGAGCCTGAAGCGGACTTTTCCCATCACAACCAGGTAAGATTTTTATGGATGCTCAACAACGCGGCTGCTCCATCTGTGCCCAAACATACCGTGCATATAACCGCGCGCTTTGACGGTGTCTTGCGTCTATCTCGTTATCAACTATGTCAATTCCCGTCATGCATTTTGTCCATTTGTGTTGTTTTTTTTTTTTTTGGTTGTTTTCGTTCTTGCTCGGGAGTTATCAAACGCAACGTAAAGAGCTTTATGTCCGAAGCCATATTGTCAGGGGAAGATGCTTGGATTATCGTGTATCGCTTTGAAGAGTAGGCGAAGGAGAGGGAGAGAGGGGAGCGAGGAGAAAGAGGAGGAAGAGGAGGAGGAGGAGAGGGCGTCTGGGCTTGGGTAGACTAGTATGGTGGGGTAAACGCCGCTTGCGAGATCCCGATCCTCTGGTATTTATGAATGAAACTCTTATTATGACAAGGGGTGGTCGCGCGGGTGCTTCGCTCTATAATGGCGACGCGTGCGCCAATCTGCAGCAGCCAGCATCCCTCGCGCTTGTCCCCCCCGTGCTTCCTTGACTATAGCACAACATTGAGCTATACGGTGAGAATGACGCCAGCGTGACGCATAAACCCCCGTTTCAGAGGCAAATGCCACGGCTTAAGGCTCCATCTGGATTCGTTTCTCTCCTCCATCCGACCGTAGTCCATCCATCCATCTATCCGCTCCATGTGTTATTGTGGTGTTGTCGAACGAGAGGTGTGAATCACGTAGGCCTTGACTATGACTTGCTTATACGTGTGAAAATGTATGTGAGTCAACTTCCTGGGTGTGTAAGTGACAAGAGGAGTGGACCGACGCACTGTCTGTTATAGCTACACGATAAGCCCTCCAGTGTGCATGATGAAAGTACAGGAAAAGCAGAGGTACAGTGGAAAAAGCAGAGTATATTCGTCTTGCATTTCAGCAGTTTTGACCAGTGTGTTTTTAAAGGTCCCATGTTATGCTATTTTTGGATCTGTTATAATGTTGTTGTCACATTAAAAACATACTTGGTGTTTTGCTTCATTCACACATGTTTAACCCTGCATATTTAGACTGAGTTCTTCTCTCAAAAAGCACTCTCAACACTCTGTTCCAACTTGTGATATCATGTTGTGATAGAGGAAGTGCTCCACTGTGTTTTTAAACTCCATACATCTTCACTAGAATCATCTGGATGAGTATCTTCAATACAAAATTCCAGATATAGTTGGTAAAATTATATATTACCCATCTCTAGGCTATAGCCACATACCAGTGATAGTACAAGACTACATTTAAAGGGCCCATTTAATGCTATTTTCTGACCTGTGTTATAATGTTGTTTCATCAAAAACAAACCTGAAGCTGTGTTTTGTTTCATTCACAACTGTTTAACACACATATCCTGCATATTTAGGTTGACTTCTTCTCTCAAACTTAAAATGATGTTTCATACTAATATTAAAGGGTTAATCAAACATGAATGAATGAAGCAAAACTTAACACCGGGTATGTTTTTGATGAGGAAACAACATTTTAACATGGATAAAGTCATGTCAGTTTTGCATAAGATGTGGCATTTAAGTAGTAGCTTTTGGTTATCTAACTAGTTTGATGCATATTTCTTGTTTTAATCAGATTCAGAGCAATCTTTATTATTGTTGTCATGGAAAATAATTCAGCAAGTATGACTGTTCTTTGGTGCAGACATAAAACAAAGAGTAAAACCATAGTGTAGTAGCAATGGTCAGGTATAGTACAATTGTATTATCAAGGAGAAAAAGACAATAATTCTTGACTATTCCAAGCAATAGTCTGAGAATGAAGAACAAAATTGCTCTTGGCCGATTAATGGACAACTACCTGAGCTTGAAATTTAAAATAATTATAATAATTAAAAACTCCTGCCAAAATATCTTCTAACCTGTACAAATTCTAACCTAATGACTAAATACCACACTGGTCAAATGAACTCCAATGCTTAATATTCGTTTTACAGTCTTATATAGTATTGCTTTTTGCAGTGACTAGTTGCATAAGAATACTTGACGAAAGACAGAAATGACTCAACTCGTGGTAACAAAGGCAAAAATAGGTGGTTACTGTGGAGATGGTGACGTGATTGGAGTGTGATTGAAGTGAATGTAACAGCAATATATATATGAGTGTTAATGAAGGAGAACTGAGACAAAAACACAGTGTGAAAGTCATTTTGGAGTTAACAGCTACCTTTCACCTTTGGAAATTCCAAGGCTGGAATTCCCCAAATGATTTTAGTGAAGATGTATGGAGCTTAAAAACGCAGTGGAGCGCTTCCTGTATTATGAAAGGAACAGAGTGTTTTCAGTTTGTGAAAAGAACACAGGGTAAATATGCAGGTTTTGTGTCTTAAACATGTGTGAATGAAACAAAACTCAACTCCAGGTTTGTTTGTAATGAGGAAACAACATTGTAACATAGAACAGAATCTGGGACCTTTAAAAGTACTCAGAACTTAAATGTTGTACTGAGTACTTACTGTACGATCATGATATTTGGTTTTAAATGTGTGGGTGGCTGGTTTATATAAATTTAGCTTTATACAAGTAATATTTCATGGGCTTCAGCTTTCTGTTTACAGGTGACATTTTGAGGACTTTTGACTATTCAAAAGATAGAATATTGTGTTTTGAATTGTTAATTGCTATGGCTACTGTTTCTCATTACTTTAGACCCCATTTAGACTGAAACAAATCCGCGTATAACTGTATTAGAAACGATCAGCGTCCAGACACATGGTTTCGGTGTCCGCAGTCCTTCGCTATTCACACAGCTTTAAGCATATTTGTTTACGTTTTACAGAAATGAAACTTAAAACCGCATGGCTAATTAAATAAACTAAGCGCTCAAAACAGCTTGCTAATGTGCGCTGATGCGGTTCAGCTTCTGTTGGACTAAAGGACACGACTCAGTGGATTATATGTGTTCTTTCTGTGGCAGAGGGGTGTTCTGCTAATGGTGAGTCTGTTCTGTGTTTCTATCGTGTTGGAGATGGCTCATGTTAAACTTTTCAGAGATTATATATCTGCAGGTCATACACATAGACGTATATATGAATGGACATATATTCTAGCCTCTTAGCGTTTTGGCGGTGAATTACTTTGTGGCTCATAGACCTACATCAGCGTTTCAGCTTTTTCAGGTGTCCACACGGTGCCGGATCAGATCTGTACTCAGATGAATTCGTGGGACCTGGCAGCACCAGATCATTCCGTCTCTGGAGCCGTTTTCCATCGGATTAGTGTGAACGAAAACTGCAACAAAAACGATCTGAATACGTACCAGTGTGGACAGGGACCTAGAAACCCATGGATACTTTTGAAACCTGTACACTACAACTATAATACTGTGATATACGCTGGTCCAATAAGAAAAACAACCTAAAACTATAAAAACAATATAAACCATTTATTTATTTAACCTTTATTTAACTAGGAAAAATGCCCTATTGTCTTGTCCTATTTTTATTTATTTATTTATTTTTTGGTTAAATAAAAGTTAAATAAATACATAGAAATGTGTTTATATAGTTTATTGTTTGTTATTGGACCAACACATTTCACCGTATACTTATACTATTTTTGTAGTATACTTATATTTTGTAAGCAAGCCACAAATTTTTTCACATTTTTACAGTGCAGAAGCAGATATGGTTAAAATCAGGGGCAGTGGAGCTGTTCCTGCAACTGTGATTCAAATAGAAAGTCTGTTTTTAGATTAAGGTAACTGGGGCATTTTGGAACAAGATCTTCAGGGCATTAGTCTGCCTACATCTCCAAATCTTAAAATGCTGTCTTCCACCTTGTGATGTCATGAAGTGGTAGCTTTCAAGTTAGCATTTACTGTTTACCTTTTTTCAGTAGAGATTAGCACTTCCAGGACTAAAATTTTTCAAGTGATGTAGTGAAGGTTCATGGGGTTTCAAAACACATTGGAGCACTTCCTGTATTATCACATGACATCACAAGGTGGAACAGAGTGTTTTAGTTTGAGAGAAGAACTCATCTTAAATATGCAGGGTTTGTGTGTTAAACGTGTGAGTGGAGCAAAACACAACTCCAGGTCTGTTTGTGATGAGGAAACAACATTATAACATTGATCCAAAAACAACGTAATATGGACTCTTTAACAAAAAAATACACAGGGCAAAAGTAAATTTAATCTGTAAATGGAGAGAGCATTATAGGCTTTTTCCACATTGTCTTTTCACTGTTATTCCACCATGTGCTCATCATAATCCGTGGAAAGTTTTCATGGAAATTAGTAGAGGAATAACCCAAGAGCTCGAGATTAAAAATGCATTACAATAGCCACAGCGGCCTCTCAGTTATTCTGACACTGTAAAGATGCTCAAGTCATTTTAGCACATGTGAATGTAGTTAAGTCCAGACTGGCTTTATGGACTGCACATGTAAATACTAGTGTGAATGTGACTGGGTTTAACGGTATGGCATAAAACTTGAATTTTGAAGCATAATAAGAAATGGTCTTGTGGTGTCACATGGAAATGTTTCTGGATTGGATAATACTGGTTTATTCAATTTCCTGGATGGACATATGCAATAATGTAATAAGACTGTTAGTGCGCCTACTAGAAAGTCTCACAATATTTGAATTTTGCTTATATAAAGTTGATCTGTAGTTATTTGAGAGATAAATAACAGCTACATAACATCTTTGGATCAGTTTAATCTTATTTTATTTTTAAAGGATGCTGTTCTCAGTCTCTGCACTGGTATCGGAAATGAAAATGTTGGATTGCATCTCCAGTGTTTAATGCCACCCTCTGGGATCATTCCAGACAAAGCAACAACATCTCCATGGAGACAGGAAGGTGACAGACCCTCCATCAGAAAAGTTACATAGTGCGTCATAGTAGAAAGAAAGTGCAGGCAGTGTCTTACGTTCAACCACATTTATTGGTTATGGATGACATTTGCTGAGTTTGTTCACATGTAGTTTAGCAGTGTATTTTCTGTGCTACC